CTCCTTTCTTTGATCAACATAATTTAAGTGTGCCATGAAAGTTTAGCTGTAGATTCAAGTGTATTGTGAGATAAAAAAGACTGAAAAACAATGATCTAGCCTAGGATTTATTAGTTTATAATAGTCATTAAAGAGAAAATAGTAAATATCTGTGGGAAAAGAGTATTTAAGATGAGGATGATCTTCTTGGGTCTTGATTCTTAGAAGGAATGACTTTACCTTTTGAAATTCTGATTGTTGCTCTTACTCTGTCCATGTCTTTGAACTCAGTTGACCCACTGACTGTTACTTTGGCTAGTGATCTTTTTAAAAAAATTTTTTATTTAATTAATTTATTTCTGAGACAGAGTTTCACTTTGTTGCCCTTGGTAGAGTGCTGGCCTCACAGCTCACAGCAACCTCAAACTCCTGGGCTCAAGTAATTCTCTTGCTTCAACCTCCCTAGTAGCTGCGACTATAGGCGCCCGCCACAGCGTCCAGTTATTTTTAGAGACTGGGTCTCGCTCTGGCTCAGACTGGTCTCAAACTCCTGAGCTCAAGAGATCTGCCCGCCTTGATCTCTCAGAATGCTGAGATTATAGGCGTGAGCCATGATGCCGGAGCCTTGGTTAATGACCTTTAAAGAGAAAAGGTCTCACAGCGCTTTCAAAGCATTATGGTCTCAGATGGCCTCATGGTCATCGTCTCTCACCCTCTCCCCACTTTCAGTACCGACTTGTAGGTTCTTGGCTTCAAATGCAATTGTCACCTATAGCAAGTGGCTACCGTGTTGTACACTGCAGTGCTGGAGACTAGAAAATACATAACTTGGAGTTTCCTGTTTGAATTATTCTTCCTCTAGCTCTTTTCAAGAATATACATTTTAATTTATCATCTATAAAAGCTTACGCACACCTGTAACAAGGGGTTAAATGCTCACATCCTCCTAAAATTCATGTTGTATTAGGGGTCCATATTGTCAAAGGATGTGCATCATAAAAAGTTTTAATTTTCCCTCCCTGTGTTTAGTCACTGTAGCGAGCGTGTGACTAAGTTCCATGTAAGTTTTGGTCTAAAACAAACCATTAAGAGACCTCACCTACACGGTCCCACTGATTGGTCCAAACCTCACCAGCACGGTCCCACTGATTGGTCTAAACCTCATCAACATGGTCCCACTGATTGGTCCAAACCTCATCAACACGTCTCACTGATTGGTCTGAAGCAGGACAATGATCCAGGCGAGGCTGGTCAGAGTCCTTCCCAGGAAATCTTTGAAGATCTGGGACAGTCAAGTTATAAAGATATGAGTTTAGGCTATGCTTTTAGCCGCTCCCTGGTTATATGGAGAGAAACGAGAAAGAAAAGAATCTGGCATGTTGGGACAAACAGAGAGTTCTGGACACAGGGCTCTGGTGAGAAAGTTCCCTGGCGCGTCTTGCCTCCTGCCATCCATCAGCTGCTGTGAGCCACTCTAGTAAATCCCCTTTTGCTCATATTAGTTCATGTTGGAGTTCTTTTATTTTAACCGTAAGTATAGCGAGTATGGGTATATGTGTGTATATACATCCACACACACTTATAGACACATACACATGAGAGATACACGTATCTCTCTTTCATCTGTACCAGCCTAGGGAAATCCAGTTCTTCAATCTTGCTGATTTCCTGGGCTTGAATAAGATTTTCCCTTCTACATTCATTGAATTATCTCAATGGTAACAGCAGAAAGGGCAGAGTCAATTGTCATGTTATCCTTGCTGCCTTGGAGATAGAGACAAATACAGATATGCACACATCTGGGTCCATACTTGAAACTTTCCCTTTGATAATTTTCTTTTCACTTCCTTTGTGATTCAATCCTCAGTATTCTTTTTTCTCTTTGCAAAGTATGAAGAGATTTTCTCCCCAGTAACACTAAAATTGGGAGATAGTGAAGAAATACAAATTTTAAAGTAAGAAAAAAATAGGATTTTATTCTAAAACACATGTATAATAGGTTATCACCCCTGTACAAATGTTATTTCAGAAAAAAACTTTTGAATGTCTAGTGACTTCAGCAATTAAATTTTTGTTCTTGGACTGGTGGTAACTCTCTGAGAGCCTTGTATGATCTGAACTCCTGGACAATCTTTCACTTTAGTGCAAATCAGTAACTTACCTAATCTTTTCCACAAATCCTTCAACTTCCATTTCACACTTGCAAAAAATAATCCATTATTTTAGAAGCTATAAATTCTCCTTTTTACTAGTTGGTAAGCGAAAACTGTACCATGAAAGGCTAAAATCTGGGCCACAATCTAAAGTACTGTCATAGTTCCTGAGCAAAACTATTTTTCTTCCAAAAACCTATGAGCAAACAAAATTAGAATGCTTAATCCCTTCCGATAACATACATACTTGAGCAATATAGATACTCCTATAATTGGTAACAGCATCTTCTTTTTAAAGGTCATAACACACAAACAGCAGATGAAACTGCTCTGAAGTATAACCAGACTTGCAGGCAGCCTCACAATCTTTACACATACCTTTCTTGGTCCTCCTCTGCCAATCATATCTATACACTTCCTCCAAATATCTGCTGACCAAAAGAATCTTTGTTTTTCCTCCAAATATCTGCTGACCGAAAGAATCTTTGAACTGGCCCTATCTGGTTGTCTTGCTGTAAGTCTAATCCAGAACGTGTGTGTGCCCAAACCCAATCTACCTGGCTGGCAAGAGTGTTGTAACCCAATGTAAAACTTACACAGTGCAGGGCAGACCAGGTTTCACTGCATGGCCCTCCCCTCTCTTCTCAGCCCTCAATTTTACATAGTTTTTTTTTCTTATTTAGAACTCCCTATCTCCTTTAGCTTGGACTCTCCATGCCCTTTCCAATTTTGTTCTGAACTTTAAGATCTCTTCCCTGTAAGAAACCCTTCCTAATTAGCCTCTTTTAGTTCTAATCACTCTCGTACCTTGCAGCCTCTCAGTGCTCCCCACACAGCTCACCGCTGGGTGCCTGGCCTGGTCTCTTGCTAAGGTGTCTCATGCATATGGTACAGCTTCCATTTGGTGGCAAACTTCTTGGATACACCCAGCAGCCCTTTGGAGGTGATAACACCGACAACAAATAGCTAACACGGCATGCAGGCTCCAGACACAATACTAAGTAATTCACTGGCAGAGAATTTAGAATGCTGTTTGGCACACAATAAACCATTAATGCAGATTTTATATTTATAGCCCAGTTAACTTGGTATTATTATTATCTCCATCTCGGGGATAAGAGAACTGTGAGGCACAAAGAGTTACATAACTTACCCAGGGCCACAGAGCTCATTAAATGGCAGACACAGAACTTGATTCCAGTCTGATTGACACCATATCTACCCATGTTCTTTTTTTTTTTTTTTTTTTGCAGTTTTTGGCCGGGCTGGGTTTGAACCCATCATCTCCGGCATATGGGGCCAGTGCCCTGCTCCTTTGAGCCACAGGCGCCGCCCCCTACCCATGTTCTTAATCATTACCAAAGATAAATTCGCTGGGCACATGCATGTACACACAATTGTCTGAGCAGTCATCCCCTGCAAGTTTTCAGAGCAGCGGAAGTTGTACTCAAGGTGGGTTTTATTCTGGCACATTCATTCCCCTTTTAAAATTCAACTGCCTTAGAGATATAAGGAAAAGTCACAAGTATTTCTATCTCCCTGGAGGTTTTCATTTTGAAATGTAGAGGCCTTTGAAATACATTTTTTTTCAAAGCTTCTAAATTGCCAAGGAAGTACGTTTTTGTTTTGACTCCCAGGGCGGCGCCAGTCACCTCTTTAGCTGTATTTCCGTCAGCGCTTCTCGGCCACCCGGACCCTCTATCTGCTCAGGCAGAAGGAGCAGGACCATGTCGAAGGCTGAACAGTATTAAAAGTGTGTGAGGGTAATAATGGTGAGAGACACAGCTCTCATCAGGCCATACATCATCCTGAAAGTTGTTCAGCATTTCACGTGACGCGCGCAGTAGCTCTGTCCTGTACAGCCTCGCTCCCAGCGCAGAAAGGGCCGCGTCTTGTCTCTCCTGGGGTCTCAGCCGCCTTTCCCTTCCCAGCCCGCTCTCTTCGTCTTCTTCCCTTTCTAACAGGCAGCTCTGCCCTCTTCTTTCTCAGCTGTCTGAACCTGCTGGAGGGGACAGGGTCGTTGCACCCCAGGGTCTCTGCGGAGCCGTCCAGTGACAGACTCTGCCCAACCGCCCCGGATGACAGACCTCTTCCCCGCGCCCCCATGCTGTCCCTGGACGCTGCATGGCGGGGTTCCGCCCACCCCCACCCCCCAACCACTGCCGGACACGATCACGATCGCCTCCCCCTGATTTCCACCCGGCTGAGCGAAGGGGCTGGAAGGAGACTCCAGATGCAGGAGGCACATAGCGAGAAACGGTCACATAGCAGAAAGTCCGGTTTCCGCGGGGACTGCAGTGGGCAGCTGCAGCCACCGTCGGCTGAGCGAGAGGCTCCCACCGCGGCCCGCGCGGCGGCGGCGCGTCTCGAACCCGGTGGTCCAGGGCGCCCGCCGTGTCCAGCGTGCGGCCACCCGGCCGGCCCAGCGGGAGCGGGAGAGGGGCGCGCACAGCTGCCCAGGCCCGCGAGGCCTCCGGTCCCCGCCGGCTCCCTCTGTCCCGCCTCCCGCCCCAGAAATGATCTCAAGCGTTGCCAGTTTGGTTCCAGAGCCCCACTGGGGTGGGTTCTTTTGTTTCTTTGTCTCAGTGACAGTCCCCAGCTCTTCGGTATGTCATGCTCAATTAATTCCCTGGCTCTCTTGAAGGCAGCTGGGGTGAAATTTCTCCTGCATCATCCTTTCGGGGATAATTGTTTGGGACGTGACGTCAGCTAGATTGATTCTTCTGACTTGAATGGGGCAGAGGAGAGAGAGAGAGAAGGAGAGAGAGGAAGGGAGAAAGAGAAAGAGGGAGAGGGAGTGAGATGAGGCAGACGAGGAGAGAGGGGGAGGGAGGGACACCGGAGACGCGAGGTGGGGACTCCGGACAGATGTGCGCCCAGGCCACCGCGCTGTGGTCTGGGCGGCCTTCAGGGCAGGAGGTGATGGGGTTGGAATGGGAGCTACCAGGATGCTGCTAAGGTTTCAGTCTGCACAGGATTATTAAGAAATTTTTCTAAAAAAAATACAAAAAGCCTCCCGCACGAGCTGCTCAGGTGCCCGGGTCACGCCCGAGCCCCGGGCGCGGTGGCCGCGCCTGCCGGTCACTCCGGGGCGCCGGCCGAGGCTCCGGCTTCAGCCGACGACGCGGAGGGCGGGGCGAGTGCGTCACGGTGGGGAAGGGGCTGTGTCTTCGGTGACAGGCGGGAGGTGGGGGCGGCGGGGACCGGGGAAGCGAGCGGTCCTGCGCGCTGGGTCTGGTGCCGGGAGGTGCGCGCGGCCGCCATGTGACGCGGGCCCGGGCTGCGGGGGTGTGGCCCGCCCCCCGCCCCCCCCCGCCGCATCTTCCCGGCCTGCAGGTGAAGCGGCCGCAGCATCCACGGCCTGGCCTGGCCCGCGGGCGGACGCGCGGCTCCCTCGGCCTCGGCGGCGGACAGAGCGGACCTCCGCTGCGGCGCGGTGCGGACCTCGCCGGACCTGGAATCCCATCCTGCCGCGTCCCTGCAGACTCCTTGCAGATTGAGGAATGCAATTCTGCCACCATGATGGAAGGTAGGGTGCTTTCCGCCGGGGTTTTCTGGCTCCTCACGGTTTGGGCAGAACAGCGTTAGAGAACGCAGAGCGGTGTCTGTGGCGGTCCTAGAACCCGGCCAGGGCTTTGCAAGCTGAAATGCTGCGGTTCGCTTGCGGCCGACCTGGAATGAAGGGAATGAAACCCAGGGCTCTGCCTGACTCTGAACCTATAGGGCTTCCAGCTTTGAGAGGAAAGCCTGAAGCGTTTGCAGGGAGCTGACACGGAGCTGGGAAAGAGCTTGCAGAGCGAATAAGTTGTGTGAAAAGATAAGGTTTTCTGTGCTGGGTTCCTGGGACTACACTGATTAAACATTTACAATGGAAACTTGGTTTCTGAAATTGACATTAGACAGGAGAGGTCATTGACAGAGTTATCCACACTGTCATTTTCAATTTTTTTTTTTAATTATACTGAGACATTTTTATCTCTGCAGTTAACATCCTATTGCTTGGATGAGGGATGCAGCAAATTTGGTCCTTAAACTGTAGTTTTCTGGGGTTGTCACCGCCACAGAATGAGGACTATACAGAAAACATCCAGGCCTCTTGGCCCCTGATTCAGGGTCTTATCAGGTTAAAAGAAGACTGTGCTTCCCAAATGCTTTCCCTGTGCAATGGTTTTCAGCCAAGCTTCAAATGATTACTTACTGATTATCATTTTGCATTTAATATTAAATACAAGGAGGAACTTTTCCTGCCCAGATGCTGTTTAAACAGTATTTTATTCCACTAAATTACCTTACCGGCCTGAAACAGTGACAGTGAGAATTGCCTCAAAAAAGCAGCAAGCTGATCAAGAAAGAAGCAAGCAGCTCTATGCTGGCTTTGATTTTCTGTTTTCACACTACAGGATGGTGTAAAACTCCTGGCCTTTCCTAAGATGACAGGCAGAAATTCGTCCCCAGTGAGGATTTCACAATGCAGAACTGAGTGCATAATGGGTCTCAAATCAGCCATGAAAACGGCGAGAGGCCACCTCTTAAGCCAAGGTCTGTCCTATGGACTTGAACCGTTCCTCAGAAATTTGCCAAAATTGAATGAGAGGTTGATGGTTTCACAAAAACAACAGTGTGGCCCATACTTATTGCCGGAAATGACTTCCTTTTTCTTTCTCTGTCATCCTGTCAAACGTTGTTAATGTGATTTGAGGGAGTAAAGAATTCTAGAGACAAATCCCACAGATTTTAGAAAATAGCCTTAAATAAGAGATTGGGTATCATTTTGTTATGGAGCTGGGTCTTGTTTGCAAAGGGCTCTCAAGCTAGTTCTTTAAATACAGGCCTAAATGAATTGAGATTGCCACAGCTCTTAGATTAAATCATTTTTGCCGATTCAAAATAGACTTAATCTTTGAATAATAAGACAGGGCAAACAGAAAGAGTATTACTTATGTGCTTTTCAATTAAAAGCTCACGTGGGTTATTCTGTTCAGAAGAAAAATCTTGTGCATAGAAGTGCTACATTTCTCCAGATAAATATAGCACTTTAAAAAAAAATGCACCTGCACACATCCTGATTCGTTCTTATATAGGGAATTGGGAAATCTTCCGTTTTACTTCTTGTCTTGCAAACTAAGGAACTGAAATGTCTTCTTTGAAAGTAGTAACATTTTTTTGACGCTCATTAATAATTCTCCTGGTAACATGGTCTATTGTACCATCCCAGATTGTCAGTTCAGAGCCCTGTGATGAGCTTATCTGAGCTGCCTAAAATGAAATGAGAGCTGTAACAAAGACTCGTGCTGCGGCGGAATTAGCACTGCTGCTGTGGGTTTGCCAGAGTGACCTAATGAAGGGTGTTATCTTAGTGCTGGTATGAACTAGAGGTGACACATGGGTACAGCTGCCTTCCGTCAGATCCTTGCAGGAGAAAGGATCTGAGCAGCTGTTCCCACTGGCTTCACTGTTTAGAGGAAACTATTTTTTCCCACCCATAGTTCCTGTTTAGATGCTTTTTTAGCCTTTTTACCTTAATGGTGCTATGACCTTAGAAAGGCAGGTGGGGACCTAAACCAAAAATAAGTTTGCCCATTATGTATTTTCCAACTTATTTTCCAGTCTTTTGGGCAATGTATGTTCATGCTTCTGATATTGCATTCCCATATTTCACCTCTGAAATGCTCTTACCCTGAAGGTGTGTATATCATTGTTATTTCCACTTCCCTCATCCCTAGAGAAAGCCAGGCTGTTACCTCTATTGCAATAACCTTGGAAAGCCAAGGAGCTCCCTAAAAGGCACCCTAAAACCCTGTCACGACAGCTCTTCACTGAAACATCTGTGAACTCTGAGAATGTGCCACTGAACATCTAGGAGGTTAAAATGATGTATCTTCTCAACTAGGTGTGTTTCGCACACGCACACAGCCATCCACTCAAATGTATTCCGGAGAGGGAGAGAACGTACGTTCTCCCTGGTGTGTGCGCACTACTGTATTGTGAAGTGTTTTAGCGTGATCCTCAGAAAAAGCATAGCCACGGCCACTTTTCAAAGCCACTTGTCTACTTCGGATAAAGCAGGAGTAAACAAATACTCAGCAGACAGCTCTTAGTAAACTGTGTTTTGTTTGTGTGGAACAGGATATAGGCGCCATTCATTGAATGTCTGTTGGAAATCCTGGTCACAGATGAGGAATGTTACTACCTCCCCAGTGGTTTCAGTGTTGTGGAAAGCAGCAAGGGAAGTCTGCAGGGACCTCAAGCAGGTTATCAGATGTTTGTGGCACCAGGCTTCATGTCATGTATTTTTTTATTTAAAAATATATACGTACATATATATTTATGGGACTTGATTTGTGGCTTCCTGTGGACTGGACTTTCTTGCAGTGGTTGGCAAGGAGTTGTTTCTTTCCTAGAGAAAGCCACGTGAAGTGCGGCCTTATGAAGAGTGAATGGAACTCAAGACAGGGTGAGCAAAGGGGATCATTTGCTAAGGAATATATACATTGGCCAAGCTTACAATGCCGTCTGTGTGTTTGGGCAATGATTTGAGGAAGATTTTATTTACGCGTCATTATTATAATTTGAAGATGGCATCTTTCGGCTACTCTTCCTAAATAAGTAGAATTAGGTCAGGGTATCGTAGGCTGTTTATTTGTGAGACTATCTGGAAAGTACTTTCTTTGTCCACGCAGAGCTGACTGAAGGTGTTTTGTGTTTTGGGTTCCATATTTAGGATCTTAGGAGCTATTTAGAAAGATCAGTTCCTGCGTGCCAATGATTTCATCCCATACAGCGATTTTAAAAAGTAACGAGCCTATTTTTAAGCGGTCAGGGGGTTAAACTGCCATGTTCAGGTTTATTTAATAAATTTTATTTATTTGCTACTTATAATAACCTGTAATTAATTAGTATGTATACAGTGCCTTTGCAGAACTTTTTCTAAATTTCGAAAATAAAGAATAGTACTGAGGGGAAAAAAAAAAAAAAAATGGCAGAATGGAATTTGAACCCAAGCCCATTTCACAACAAAGTGCACATTTTTTACCTTCTAGGAACGTTTTTTTTTCTTTTTTTTTTTTTTTGCTTTTTATCAAGGTGTTAGCCTAATTAGAAATTTGGCCTTAGATTCTGTGGCTGCACATTCTCTCTCTCTGTGTCTTAAATAGCAGTACTCACAGGACCACACCCTACAATTCCTTCTAATACATTTTATGTCCAGTATTATTATTTAGAAAATTTTGCATAATTCAAGATCAAAATTTTCTGTTGTTGCAATAAACCTTATAAACAGTAAAATATCTTTTCTCCTCTATAAAGGGAATCTTATAATATTTGGTAAATTCTTTGACGATGATCAAAAAGGAATGAAGTACCTTGAAGCTGGAGCTGTCTATTTATTAGTTAGCCGAGAAGTTTTAAAGGGAACGTTTCCAACTCTCCTACTGATTTCCTTTCCTTACATGGTAAAATCACTTCCGAAGACCTCAGCCTGCATATGAGATTCTAATATATGTTCTATCACGTATGTAATTTTTCTCCTTCCCCAGTGCTTTGTTTCAGAAAGAACCTCTTGGATGTCTCTGTCCCCATCCAAATTTCAGAAGTCAACTTTAACTCTCTAATAAGAGTATGGAGTTTTAAAAAATTAACTTAGATAATCCATGCTAGAAGACTCTAGGTAATCCTTTCGGCTAGATTTCACACATATACTATTGATGTTTCGAATAAACATGTTATGGGGAGTCACCAACTCCCAATTTTTATGTTCCTGAAAGCTTGTGAAAGCAGGTTGTATAGGAGTAATGATGTTAATGATGGTGGTGAGAGTCTCACACTAGTCCACCAAAGTCTATTACCCCAATATCTAGCTAAAATTCTAATCACAAAAAAATACATAATAGTATGGTAATCGTAGTAATCAGCCAGAAGAGAATGATGGCATTAAATAGGTTTTTAATTTTGAATGTTGCTACTTGAGAGGAAGAAGTTTTAATCAGAAGACAATGAGGAGTTGGAGAGAAAATGTGTAAATATTTCCAGAAGATTTTTAGATATTTTGGAAGTTTAAGAGACTCGTAACCCTGGATTTTTCAATTATGTTTGAGTTTACTTGCAGACGTGCGGTTTGCCCTGTCTTGATTCAGTGTAAACGTATGAACCTCTCCTGTGAGTGAGGTCCTTACAGGAGCTCATAAATGGAATTAGGAGAGCGAGAGAGCGTTCTCTGAGATGACAGTGCAGATACTGGGACAGAAGGGATCAGGATTATAGTGGGTCTGGGCTCATGTGCCTGGAAAATCCCAGAGGAGAAAGTAGCTGAATAAGCAAGAGGTCGTGGAGAGAAGAGAGTGGGGCGATCTGGGCAGGTCCCAGGGAGAGCAGGGTGCGAGACAGACCTATCAGTGGGCAGCGTCCTGTGGGAGAGATGGGGGGACACCCTTCAGACCTGAGGAGGCTGGGTCAGCAGGAAATCAGGAAGATGCTCAACTTCTAGAATTAAACACTTTACTTCATGTGACTTCTTTGTTTAAAAGCTTCCGT